TGGCTGTCAAGTTGCAGGAATTTTATTCCGCTGGAAAGGTTGTGTCCTTATTCATCGCTAGGTGCGCAGACTTGAAAAATCACTGCAAACTGTTGCTATTCATTTGTGTAACCTCTTCCTTTGTGAGATGGACATCAGCCTAATTATGGTAAATGTTTTACAAGGGCAATAAAGTCCTTCCTCTTTAATTATAGCCTGGCCTGGATTTGTGCAGCTGATCATATACCGCCATAAAACAACATTTCCTGTTTCTACCCTTCATCGTCCTATTCTCTAATTGTTTAAACCAGGCTACACAACCTATAGTGGAGATGAAAGCCCCAGCAAATAATTCTGGGGCTTGTCTTTACCCAAAGGTGGAGGTATATGAGATATGATTAGCAAAGATGGTCATAGAGTCTAGAGCAGGGCTGGACAAATGCTCAGTCCCTCTCCACATCACTTCCTTAAACTTCTGGTCAAGAAGCACGCATTGTTTACATCACTGAACAGTCAGATGTACTCGGGATATTACTTGGAATGAAGGCACTGTCAATAATAACCCTTATAGGTGGAGCAGAGGAGATGCATGTAATGGAGGCCGTTGATGCTGTCCATACATGTTTGTGCGCAGAGCACTGGCATATCTCAAGCTGCAGGCTGGGAGCATGAATATCATGGTGGCTTTGCTTGGGCTTCATGGAGACCCAGTAAGACAACATAGCATTGGATGCGACTTTTAACAACTTTGCTTGAAACATAAAAATATGGAAATATAAAAAGGTATACTGCTACATACATACTTTTTCTTCACTAGGGTTTAATAACACTTTAGTGCCGCTCTGCATTCATTAAATGATTAAATATATTTGACTTAAAAAGCAGCTAGTGTAAGTGTCTGAAAATTACTTGTTTACAAGCCTCTTGTGATATCATATGAGCAGCACTCAGACTGGGAGAGATAAGGACTAAGGAACCAATAGGTCTGCTTCTGTTCTTTCACTGACCAGTCAACAGGCTAGGGGTGGAGAGAGGATACCGCTGTATTCCTTAACTGTAAGGCCTGGATGGATAAGGCCATCTACCTGTCTGTGCAAGTCTCAGGACTGGATGGACAGAAATACAAATCATTGGCAGGTAAAACAACCCTTTCATATGCAAACATGTATAAGCCAAATATTTGTTGAATGCATCAGAGGAGAGGGATCAGACATCTATTAGGATGGCCTTATCTCATGAGAAGCAATTGTGGCTGGACAAACAAATGCAACGAAACCAGTTAAGTACTCCCCTAAGAATCATCCCCAAGCAGTCTGCTGGACCCAAAGATAGGACATTGGTTACCCAGTCTTGTTTCTTTTGACTATCATGTTATGTCTTTGGCTAGCTTGAAGAACAGTTCTGTCTCGTATTAATATTTTAGATTATTGTGGTTTCTAGCAAGTTTGAAAACAAATAGTTAATAGCTGCCATCAAGTCACAATGAACTCCTGTGACTATATAAACTGACTGCCTCACCTAAACTTGTCACTCCTGGGCGCAGGTTTCTGTCAAAGAGGTCTAACACTGCATATGCTTATCTTACAATATCTACTTATGTGTAACTGCTTTCCATGGACTAAAGAAGATGACAAAACCACTGTATTTCTGTAAACGGGACACAATACATCAGTCGAAGGACTTCGGAATTTGAAAACCAGAAAAGTCACACAATAAAATGCCTGTAAACATTAAAGTTTACCAAGATCACAGTCATCAAGAGCACACATTTCATTGCAACATCACCATCATTCCAATTGTTTAACTTGCGTTATAAAAATGTATAACATAATGCGACTCAAAAATAACAAATAATTCACTAACATCAGTTTCTATGGAAACACCCCAAGGCCATCTGACAAAAGTCTAAAAACTCATATTGACGAGAGACAATGGGCGACCATTATTCCTTTCATAAAAATAAAAGCTATGAGAAGACAGAAGAGAACTGTGATTAAATTAATTTAAGAGACGGAAATTGGGTATCAACGGGAGCGTGTAACGCGACACAGCTTGTCCCCGGAGACACTCGCTGTCTAGAGCACGGATTTATGCAGCCGTGTTCAATATAGTGATGCCGAGTCACTAAAGAGATTTCAGCATTTGGTATTATTGCTTTTTTTTATTTGATGCTTTGGACATGGAAAAAACAGAAAAACAAGTTTTCAGACGCACAGAAAAGAAAGCACAAGCGCCGGCTAAGTTTGTTTAACCAGATTAGCCCCATAATGTTGGAATGTAGCAACAATTTATTGGAACTAATTGAAGTCTCGGATGCTCTGAACAAAACGCATTAGTCACTTAGAGGTTTTCCTAATATTGCTGCATATATCTGTGTGGTTCATTAGCGGTGTATTGGCTCAATACCTTAATCATATGCTCAGTCACAATACCATCAGTATAGGGAATATTTTCAAGCTGTTTCTCCAAGCCTGAAGCAGATAAGGTGTCTGTTCCATGAATAACCTCAATTACCGACTCTATTTTATGGCCAATATAATGACCAAAAATGCCTAGCGGTGAACCATCCGGAGACTGTGATAGGAGAGGGACCCACAGATTATGTATAACATTATTGTTCATTAGTCAATAATGAGATGCTTTAATCCACAGCCAGTTAGAGAGTAAATGTAATACTGTCATATTAATCTATCTACGCCCGAGATGTATGCCTCAATTGTGCGGGATAGGCTGCAGCTTGCAGCATACCAAACACGCTGTGTATGAAGTTCGGGTAATCCATCAGGAAAAATAAACAGCAGGTTGATGCTCAGAGTGAGAATAACTTTAACCAGCTTTGTTAGGCATTTTTATGACCAACCTTGGTTTAGACCCCAGTGTGACCTTCTTAGTGAAGACAGAAAACGTGGCCACATACACATCAATAATTTCATAGCCAACTTTTTTTTATGGTAAACTACTGCTAAACAAGTGCATACACAAACATCTTAACCTTGATTTCTAGGGATGGCACTAGGTTTTAGAGGTTAGACCACCTGCCCCCAAGTATATTAGACACTAGTAGGTGGCCACTAATGGAGCAGGCCCAGGGCTGGCAGTTGCCAGAGAAGATTTTGCAAAAATCCAGCCATTTGTGTGCAGCCATGTCCTCAATTCTGCTGCAACGAACCAACCAACACTCTGAGATGGAAAATTAAGATACCATTCAGCACCAACATGTTTACACTAAAAATAAGCTGGGCTGCTATTAGCATTGCAGACAGAAAGTGCTACCCATCACAACCCAATATCTTCATACTTCTGGAACAGCTTAAACATTTATAACAATCATTGACAGGTTGCTGTGGATAACATGCCTACATTTTCTTTATATCCATATTTGAAAAGAAGCAATGCAATAATTACAGGATAAGCTGTCACATACAATTAGCACTGAACTCCAGGCAAGCAGTGAAATATAAAGCTGAAATACATCTGATGGAATTATTTTACCTACCAAAGAATTTGGAGCTGAGCTCAGGCAGTCTTGCAATCAAGAAAACCCTGCCAACCAGAATAGTCGGATCCTAGACCAGGGGTAGCCAAACTCCGGCCCTCCAGCTGTGGTGGAACTACAAATCCCATGAGGCATTGCAAGATTCTCACAGACATGACTCCCGGAGAGAGATGCATCATGGGATTTGTAGTTTCACCAGAGCTGGAGGGCCCGAGTTTGGCTACCCCAGTCCTAGACCTTCACTGCAGCAACAGCACAGCTTGGTCAAGAACACACCCCCAGCATGCTGATTGGCTAAAGAAGATGCACAGCATGCTGAAGAATCATCACTCTGCCCTTTCTGCTCCTTCCTCTAGTCAACGTGCTCCTTTGTCTATATTTTGGCAGAGATTGACAGGGCTATGTACTGAAGGTTGAAGAGTTTGGAGAAGCCAATAGCAAACAATCTAGGACAACATAGCTGAACTGGAAAGTGAGCTGAATCGGATAATTTTTCCAAATCAGCTATTTTGGCCTAGATTTTTCACCTCTGCCTTTTTCAAACCCTTCACCTTTTAGTTAAAAGACCTGTGAGTGTTTCAGAGTCTCTAGTATCTGCCTGGAGTTAGGCTATAAGAACACTTTAGGTAGTTATAAGAACACTTTAGGTAGTTAAACAGTACATTTGTTTATATAGATCCATACAACATACCAACACATTGACATATTTATAGAGTAATAAAGGCCATGATGATATGGGTCTAAAAAGGGAAAAAGTTAAAAAGTTTTATCTGAAAGAGACAATTCCAAACAGTAGGAGCAACAGAAATGAGGCCCCAGGAGAGATCCGACTGCGTGTAGTATTTTATAGTACAAAGCTATAGATATGTTTTAAATAAATGTAGAAGAAAGAGTTTGATACATAGTTAGGTAGCGAGAAATCCCCTTTGGGATATCGGGCAACCTAAGGTGCAAAAAAGGCGTGCAGGGAATATTTATGTCCCCATGCAGGATGGCCACTCTCGATGCTCGTCGGGGTGGAGTTCAGATGATCCAAAGCTCGGCAGCTAGAGGGACCCGATGTGTACTGGAGAGATGAGACAAGAATGTCCCAAAAATACGTCGGTGCGAGACAGCAGAGGTGCCCATGTGGAAGAAATGATGGTTCTTCAATTTAGACTTTTATTCCATGAAACTTATACTTATGTGTGTGTTTCATGGAATAAAAGTCTAAATTGAAGAAATATCATCCTTTCATTTCTTCCACCTGGGTGCCTCTGCTGTCTCGCACCTACGTTTTTTTGTGGCATTCTTGCCTCATCTCTCCTTAAAAAGTTGTGTGCCTAGCTCTCCCCCTTTCACAAAGGATGGAATTAAAATAATGTATTATACATTTGGCAGAGAGGATAAGAGGCATTTGATATAAATCAGTATTTGTGCTAATACACACAACAGTTTAAAAACAAGTTTAGCTCTTTTTAGTGACCAGTTATAAACTAAATACATGCCATAGATTAGTTGGGAGTTGGGCAACATTCCACTGTACCTTATAAAGAAGGAAGCAGCAGCTGATGTCCCAGAAGTCACTGCAGCTGGTGGTATCCATTGTGGAGACTGTCCTGCTAAGGTCTGCTCATTGTGATTAGTCCCTGAAGAAGACTCAGCATTGTTGCTTTCCCTTCCCCCTTCCATGGACGTAGAATCAGGCTACAGGAAAAAAAAATATAAGAGTAAAATACACAAATGAAGCAAGTGGAAGCCATCTGTCTTTCTGCATTTTCTATCAGAGGCTTCTAAAGTCACATTAAGGACAAGGATACATAATGAGGGAGGACAACCATGCTTTGTTGTGCCCTATCACAGGGATGGCTGTAAACAGCAGACGACAAGCACAGAAGCCCGGGCACCTTCTATTATGGGTGCTGTGCAGTGACACGCTGTGACAACCATGAAAAAAACGGGAAATGATCAGGAGTGATTTTATGTGGCTTGTACAAGCCTTTATCTGGTTCAGTTAAAGCTGTCACAATTTATCCTTCAGGTTGCCGAAACCTAGAAGCACAAGTAGATGATTTTTTTTTTTTGCAGGATGGTATTGGACCATTCAGTCTTTGATCCAGTTTGAATCCTTATCTACCTAAAAGCAGGAAGGAAACCTCAATACAAGGCACATTCTCTTGCTTGCCCAAAATAGCTTTATGTTTTTCTTTTCTTCAGGTCTTCTGTCCTGATTTAGGGCCCATTCATGTATATAGGTGCATTTTCTGGTGCATTGATGCGTGTTGTGTTGAATGAACCCATTCATTTTCAAATATGCTTCTAACATGCTTTTACAGACCAAAAAAACCTTATTTTTTCAGTGCACCACAAGGCAACACGTGTGTTTTTTATTGCATGCATTACAGTGCGCTGAAGGTCATGTGCTTTAGTTTGAGCATGTATGCGCATAAGGGTGCTATAAAAAATAATAGACATGCGCCCAAAGCGCATAGAAGATGTATTGTTGTACTGTATGTTATTGAACATGACTGTGCACACCAGTGTGAATGTAGCCTTAGAGCTAACCTATCTTATAAGGCTAAATGAAAACACAGCAAGGTGCATGTTTTAAAATGTAAGCTAGAAATGTCTCCTCTGTGTGCCGTTATAAATCTGGGTTCACTAGGTATGGCCTAGTGGGCTCAGCCATCCACTAGCTGCTTTGAAAACCTTGGATATTCCAAGCATGAGATCTCCCTGGCATAACTTCTGACTCTGTTCCTGTCCATACCCACCTTTGTGTGTTCCAGCTCATCCTGTTGCATTCTCCATACAATATATACTAAATTATTACACAACAGGGAGAGCAGGAACCCTCTGCTAATGGCCACAGTAGGTGTGCAGAAGCAGAACCTCAAGCACAGATCTCACCAGCAGAGTTTCTGAGAACATAAGAAAATCTCAGAGGATGCTCTCGGACATCCAAAGAAAACCAAAATATTAATTTTGGGCACACTGAACCTTAAATGGCACCACTAGCCTAACTTCAGAAATTGCCATCAGACTTATGGCCCTTCCAACCCAGCTTCCTCCCCATTCAGTGAGAGCATTCTTCAATGTAGGCGATCCAGACAGGGGGACTGTGTCTAAAAGACAGTAAATTCTGCAAAGGCTGTAAACTATTTCACAATAAAACATCCAAATGAATTACGATGGCGAGTATGGCGAAACCGGCAGGAAAAAAGAAACAGTTCACCAATCATCGGCTAAAGGGCTGAAGCTATAAATTAAAAACCCGGCTACTATGATAGATCCCCTTTCAGAAGTGCTCTACGTGTACATACGCTCTTCCCATTATCCACTTTGAAAAATGGCCTAGACACAGGATCTTAACAACACATCCTAATGAACGCTGCACATACACATTTGTCCCCTCACTTTGTATAGAGCCCATCCCCTCACATTACACTCCTTCACTCCCTCCACACAAATAAACACACACACACACACTGCTCCGCGCAAGCACAAGAGCTGCAAGTGACAAATTAACGAGCGCAAGGCGTGCTGCTGTGAATTGTAGAAGCAGAAAAGATGGATGCGCGGTGAGGCGGCCGAGTTAAGAAACACACTTGAATAATGCACTTAAAGAAAATCTATACGTTCCATTGTGTTTTCAAATGACTTCATTAGTAATGGATGGCTGGGTTAGTGAAGAGTGGTTCTTCGGCTGACAGCTAGGAAGTATTTCTGGGTAGTATTTGGTTGGACAATTGAAAAAACGGATCAGGAAAAGTTTTCTTTGTAACGATGTTCAGGCAGAAAACAAATATGGCTGTCCGTAGGGCAAACTGGAAAAGATTAAATCAGCCACGATGCAAAGTTTTATAAATGGCAGAGGGAACTATAATTTGTTATATTACTGCTATGTGAATTATTAAAACATTTTTTATGAAGTGTTGGAGACCAGACCAGCCATGTACATGTGGTGGAATTGAAAAAAAACTGGAAGCGGTTGTTGCCACTTCTCCCCAGCCATCGCAGATGGTAATAGTGAGACACAACCAGCTCTTGTTATAGTAACAGTTGGATTTGGAGATCTAAACAACTCTGCCATTGGAAACTACAGAAACATATTCTTTGGAACAGATTTACCTTTTAATCACTTTCTTACCAGCAATATACTCTCAAATTAAATAACCCAACACAGTAAACCAAATCACTACACACAATTTTAACATGTTAATGTTACTACAAAAGTTGCTTTTATCACTTTTAAATCTGCATATTTTATTGCAATACTACCTGCTGTCCCTGCCATGAAGGTCCGTGTTCAGGCACTTCCTGTTAAAGCAGGGCTGGATAAATCCCAGGAGCTAGGTAGCCAATGCCCCTTAAAAATGACCGTTGACTCCTAACTTTTAAGGTTTTCTCTAAATTTTGTCAGTGAAGGTGTGTCCTAAATAAATCCTGCTGGCCCCAGGATTGGACAGAATGGCTTCTAAATCCCATATTAATTTGGCCACCCCTGTGTTAAAGGGTAACAATGTTCTGTCCCTGTTTCCCATTTGTGCTCGTGTTGTCACCCTGTCAAATGGGCTTCCATTGGAGAGTACAAGTGGACGTTTCAACATGCATGATGTCACCCTGAGATATGCCATGCAGTCATCGCTGGAGTGAATGTAGACAGAAAGTGACTTGCAAAGAAGCTGCAGGAGATCTACTAAAATGTATTTTTATACACATTGCTATAGCAAATTAAATGCAATTTAATTAGAATTTGCATCTACCTGGCCAATGTATACATTTTTATTAGCTCCTTTAATTATTCCTGCCATTTGCCATCTCCCTCTGGTCCCACCCATAGTTTCTTTTTACTGGTTAACATAGGTGAACTCTATATGAAGTAGGATTTTTACACCTAACACTTCCAGGCGTGTGAGTTGTTTGCACCTCCCCTCAAGCTCTGTGGTTCCTCCTGCCAACCCCTAGGTTACTATAGGATACAGTATTAACATGAGGGCCAGCGGAAAGATCCACAGAGCATAGGTAGGTATGTAGACAACAACACACCTAGGAGTGATGGATGTCAGGATCCTTTAGATGGCTTTAGAGCAAGATTCCAAGGAATGGCACTAGAACAGGTAAGTATAAAATCTCTTTACAGGAGCTTTTTTGTTTCTAATTTTTATTCCGGCAACAAATTCATTTTAATGGATTACCCATCTTCTACGTGGCTGGGATTCCGAGTTACATATCAGTTGTTTTGACTTCACTTGTTGCATGCGTGTTCACGGGCAGGCAGACAATTATACTTTGCAGAAGCAAATCAACAACAGTAACATAAATATTTGTCTCATGACAGGTTTCCTTCAAAGTAAGGTATGCACCTAAATATGTGGTGCGCACGTGGAAAACGTCTATCATTTTATGGGGTGAAAGGTGGAGATTCTCCTTAAGGAAATCATCAGTTACGCTGAGGAAAGTGACTCCCAGATGGATGACATCCAGTTTATCAATGAAATACAGCTGAACATCTATATCTTGCTCTATGAATGACAAGAAAACATGTGGCAGACATAAAACAAAATGCACAATAAACCAAGAATTTATTTCCGATCAAATGCATTCCTCGTGCGTTGTGGTGGTCGAGACACGACCAGCACAGCTGATTGTGAAACAGTACAGGACTGCAGCTGGAGAGCAGAGATGTAATGCACATCACTTGATAAGCACCGCAGGATTGTTGGCAGTGGAACACAGGGAAATGCTCATCCCTTGCCTTGAGAGGTTTCCACAAATTCTTTCTACAGCCAATCATTAGTCATCACTTCAGTGTAAAATATATTGTGTATGTATGCATATAAATCCCCCCCAGTTTTTTACATTTATGTTTTTAGACCGGGGTGCCTCAAGATTTTGCATACTTTTAAAAGGGTGCAGCGACTGAAGAAAAGGTTGAGAAACACTTCATCAGACCATAACGAGCCACAAACAAATTCTGTTCCAAAAGAGGAACAGTCCCTCCAAATAAAGGATAGCTTTTTTTTTTTTACAGGACAACCTCACTAAAAGAGAACTTGCACTTTAATGTGACATATGAAATACCATTAACGCGTATGTAGTAACGCACTGCAACGCAACGGTGCAGTGGGCCAAAAGTTGGAAAAGTGCTTTGTAAAACCAGGACTGTCCCTGGAGTTTGGCAACATTAAAGGAGAACTATGGGGTCAGTGTTTTTCCCCATAGTTCTCCTTAGGGTAACGGGAGGACACAAACTAACGTCCCCCCGTTACCCTAAGCTCAGTATACCGCGAGCTACAGCTCGCGGTATACTGAGGCGCCGGAGCGGATCACGACTTAGATGACGGGATCCGCCCAGCTGCGTGAGTAACAGATGGCTCTGCCTATCTAGAGGCAGAGCCAGCTGTACCCGCCCCCTCCCCCGTCCGTTCCGCCAGTCAGCGCTGGCAGATCGGAGCGGGGAGAGGGGAATCCAGCCCCTCCCCCTGTCACGGCAGGGAGCCGTGACAGGATCGAGAGGCGAGCGAACCCGGTATGTGTTCGCTCACCTGTTGTACTAAGCCGACCTGTAACAGTCTCATTGTCACAGGTCGGCTAGAACTATGAGGCGAGTGAAAAGCACTCATCTCATAGTTCTCCTTTAAATTGCAAACCTGTCCTGGAATACTACAGAAACCTGAAGACATTGAAATAAAAAAGAGCCTGCC